GAATATTGTATAAATTGCACAATATATATAATTGAACTGTGAGTGATTCCCCCAAAACAAGAGGACACAAGTAAAAGCGCGGCTGCAACTTTTCTACGGGCATCTTGAGCCAAAATGTTGGTGGTAAATGACAAGGTGTTGACCCGAAGGGAAGGATACATTAAACATATGAAAGAGTGGGTATGGTGAACCTCCATTTCTTTCAAGTCCCCCCTCATCATGAGCTGTATAGGGTCAAACACAAACACAGTAGTACAAACTACCGGAAGATGATCAAGCCTACGGACGGATGCATTCCTACCATGTCTCACGGCTCAGCGGATGGAGGGATTCGCTTTAAAGAATCCATCATGCCCTGCACCTAGCGGATGCCTAATTTCCGGATGCATGAAATCCAAATTAGTTATGGATGCATGAAGTCCAAAAAGCATTAGGCGAGGCGCCGTGGCAGCCAACCACCATTAAGCATGGACAAGGATGTTCCACAGAAAATCCAAATGACATAATGAACTGACTAGGCAAGTCCTAAGTGAAAGTGCAGATGGAACTTAGTTACATCCGCACTGATGTGCGCTTAGCGGCTGCAACATGCTGAATTAAACTTCGGCAGTTGTGGTGAAAGTCCAAAGGAAATGACCGTGACTGAGCAAAATCCAAAGACTGACATTGTAGATGGAACTTAGTTACATCCACAACAGGTGCCTTGAACGGCGTGCAACATACTGAAACCCGACGACTGCAGATGCAATTGAGTATAATTGAGTACTCAAATTAAACTTAGGAGTTATGGAAATTTCGAAAAGGTTTGTCAGCAGCAGTTTGGTTACTGTGACAGGAGTCAGCAGCAGTTTGATTACTGTGACAGAAGGATTCCTGCAAACAAAGTCCAAACCTAAGTGGCTGTAACGGGCTTAATGCAAAGCAAATCCAAAATGCTCAAGGCCACAAGCTCAGCTTCTGTCGTTGATCTAAAGACAGCTCTCTGGCTCTCTGGGTTTTTGATTCCCAAAGAATAAAAGCAAATGAACCTGGGACTTCAAGAGCGATGACAAAGCCACTTCTCGACTTTATGTCATGACGAACGAAAGTCGTTGGCACTCCATCGGGTGATATTATGTGCAAGTGTATTAATTGCAACCATGATGTCTGGACGACTGATTCGTCCGAGCCACATAAGCTTCATCACCAGTTTTCGCAGATGATGCTGAAAGCTGTCCAACAGATTGATCACCAATATCAACCAAGGTTCCGCCGTCACAGTGAGGAGTGCGGAAATGCTTGACCTTCTTGCCGGACAATTGTCCGTAAAGTTCGACACACTGCTTTTGCAAAGTCTGCAGAGTGAAGGGCAAGTCCTTGATCGCAGATGACATGATTCCTACCAAGTACTTTTGACAGCTCGGCGGGATCTTCGAGTTGGACGTGTTTCTGCAAAGTTGGCCAGAACTTACTGTGATTCTTTTGAGGACCACTCAACGTAAGGCCATCAACATAAACTCTGAGGGCTAGACGGCTAGACTCATGGATGGAAAATGAAAACATCTGGGTTGTTTTGGCATCTCAACACCTCCAAGTTCTTTTGACAGAATGGTGGCAAGATGATTTTGCCATGAAGCGGATGCTAAAGGATGTCCATACAAAGATCGGATTAGCAGGGCAACTGGCTGATGAATGTGCTTGGCATGAGTCGGCACAAGTTCTGCAGGGAGCAAACATATGTTGGGCATGATGGGTCAAGAAAACTTTGGACATACGGCATACGCTTTAATGCAGTCTGAGGTTGAACACGCGTTTCCCTCGACAAGTCCAAAAGCAATGATCATGTTGAGACCACCAAGGCTCGTTGGCGCAGAAGCTGCGAACTCGTCGACGGCTGCCTGCGCACGGCATCACCCCTAAAGACAATGCGAGCTTTAATGACCCATTCTGATGGAGATTTTTCAAACCCTTTAATGCTAACTATTACCATTAAGGCACCAACATGAATTTTCTGACCCTTGGCTCGTGCTTCAGCTAAGACTTCTGCTTTGGGACGGATTTTTGACTCATCGCAAGTGCCATTCACAAGAAGTCCTTGCTTTTCCGCGTTGATGGCATCCAAGACCTCTGGGCTGTCTTTCCATTCACTTCGCTCCAAACGCCGATGAACATAAGCAGGAGTAACCACTTCTTGGCAACCTACATTGAACATCGCAATGTCAAGGGGAATTGACGGAATCCCTGGGACAAGCTTTTGGCAGTGAGACTGTTTAGATCTCGCAACACATGGCATAGAGCACACATGCTGATTGACAACATGAGGAAACAATGATTGAATCATGATATTGCAAAGCTTTCGTGGGTAAAAGGCTGACATTCTGGTTGATTTTCCTTGAAGTGGAGCATGACTACTGTGGGCGCACTCCAAAACTGCAAGATTCTTGGCCAAGCGCAATGAAGAGGTAAGAAATCTCCAAAGCTTCTTGGCTGAAAGTGGCTAAATGCAAGTTTCTTTCAAGAGTCCACGATTAAAATGATGGCAAAGCCCAACCGGTACAATAGCGTGGCCATTCGAAACTGCAATCCTCACCGTTGTCTAGACAGATGTTAGCCACCCAATTGAGTTGCTCTACCAGGGCAGCACTTCCGGCTTGTTCTTGATTGATCTTAGCCGCCAGTCTCGGATACTTCATCCGATTCAAATGTTGCCATTGGCTCCAGGGCCGTGGATGGAGCACCCTTCTAAAGCACCTACCTGAGCGATGAGCTGCTCTATGCTGTGAGGATCTTCCAAATTGATATCTTCCTTGCACAGCCGGATGACTCTCAAACCATGTTCATGTCCAACTTTGCCAAGGTTGGAGTCCTTGGCGCAAGCAAATTCGAACAAAACATCCTTACCAGTGCGACTGTGCTTTCCCCTGCCATGTTTTGGAGGCTTCTTTTCAGGAGCGGCAGCGACGCCGAGGCAGCCAATCTGCCCCCCTGATCAAAAGATCCCTGAAACATTGATTGCACTTCTTCTTGTGGCAAGCTGGCTGCAGCATCGCAGGCAATACTAGCTACGGCACCTAAACCAGCGGCAGGAGGTTTATCAAATTCATCATCAGCGTCTGAATCATGAAACGAGACATCAGGAGGATTTTTGACTGGAGATTCGGCTTCATAAGGTTCATCATGATCTGACGGAGGGAAAGGGTCTTCTGCAAAGCTGATGAACATTGGCTCAATGGCAGGAACTTCAGAAGACGCTGGAACATCGGGTTCAACAAATGATCCATCTGCATCTTTGCGACCAAAGGCTTCTTCAAAAAGCGCAATGCATTCTTGATTGTGAGATGAAGTGTCGTTCTCACAACCTTACAACCTTTTGTGGCACCAATTTTGAGCATTCGGGAATAAGCTACATAAACTCTACGAGTTTTTGGCTTAATATCAGAATCCACAAATGGAACCGGCACTGCCTCGATGTCCTGAAGTTCAGTGAGTCTGGGGTCATCAAGTTCCTTCAAAGCAGCTTCAGCTGCACTGACCAATGGAAAGGTTACATCTCCAGGCATATAAACCTCTGTGTCATGAAATTGGGATACAGGATAAGATGATGCATCTTCATGAAGGTGAGAGTACAAAACAAATTGCAAAACACCTCGATACCTCATTCCAACGTCCAATCACCATCCAACAAAAACGGCAGGTTCTGCATTTGGGCTGAACTTGAACTTGCCTGCATCTTTTGTTCTAACAAAATTCAATTGACCAAGCAAAAAAATGAGGTCCTAGAAACTCTGTTCCAAATGCAAGTTCCCAACGCGTTCTTCCCTCACTATCTTTCAAGAATGCAGACATGGCAGTTGCAACGTACGAGCATGCTTGAGGCCAGAGCTGGGGTCTGGCAGCAAAACCTGCTTGAAAAAGAAGTGACCTGGCAATCTCCTGGAAAGTCCTCATCTCACGCTCTAAAACGGAGTTGTGGGGAAAACGTGATGGAACTGAGCTCTCTGGCCATCAATTATTCTCAATGACAGCTGTCAAGATTTCTCCGGCAGCGTCTGAACGAACAATGGTATAGGAGTTTGATTTCAAACCCACAAAATGCTTGAGATCTGATGCTAATTGGGATGCTTCTCTTGAAATTGTTGGATAAGCTTGCAAAACTTTTGAAAACCGATCTTGAACGATCAACACTGCATGCTCCTTGCCTCTTGAAGACTTGAAAGCAATCAAATGGTCACATGCCAATTGCTGTCCAAATGCTTCAGGCTCCGCAAGATCAAGTTCCTCATTGACTACTCTCCTACTTTCGACCCTTTTGCTGTAAAGTCTGGCTCTATTGCAAACACCACATGTGGACAATTTTGGAAAATGAGTCGAATTATGATCAAATGGAAGGGGAGCAAGAATGTCATGTTCCACGGATGCAGGGTCGCTTGGCATCCCAGGATCTACGCTAGGCTCAACGTCTGGCTCAACTGACAAAACTTCAGGAACTTCAACCAGCTCCACAGCAGGATCTAAAGGAGGCAAAACATCGATGGCACTAAATCCGGGAAAAGGTTCTGCAGGCATACCAGTCATAACAGTAAAACATAGGGCATTTTGAGTGACTCTTGATGCGTAAAAATTGTTCTCCTCGTCGCAGTTGAGATGGCAGGGTCGCGAACAAGAAAGGGCAAAGAGCCCGGTAGCCAAATGAAACCTAATCCATTCTGCTTCACATCAAGGCCATGATCTGACCACCGGGCAAGAGTCCAAAAAGGAAATGGTTTGCATCACCTAAAATTCCATCTTGGTCTTGAAATCCAATGGTGTCTGATGACTTCTTAAAACCAGCACCTGTCGAGAAATTCAACTTTTCATGGGAGTCGTTGGCAAACCGGAAAAGACCTCCAAAGGCTTGGGATGGAGTGACCATGGAGCTCAATGCAGCAACAATCGCAACGGCTGCTGCGACTTTCGGAGTTGCAGGCTTGGGCTTGGCTTTTGAATCGGCTTTTGAGTCTTTGGGCTTAGCAGGAGGGGTTTTAACATGACTGGCACTTATCCCCATAAACACAAACATTAGGCATCTGATTGAAAATGCATGGAGTCTCTGCCTTCTCCTCAGCCGTCATCGGCTTTCCGGGTTTTCCCTTCGACTTACGCTTTGCGTTTTTGGAAGGCCCTTTGGGGGCATCTTTGGGTGTTGGGGCGCTAACTGCGGCAGCTACAGAGGCTTTGGCAGGAGACGCTTTTGCTGGGACTGCTGGAGTCTTCGCCTTTGGCTTGTCTCCTTTCTTTTGATTGCGAAGGGATTGCTCAATGGATCGAGCGTTCACGTCTTCGCGCTCTTCAACCAAAAACTCTTGCAATCTTCCCCAAAGATAGTTGAACTCACGCATGGCGGAATCATCTGGGGATCTTTTGATTTCATCAATCACCCTCTCCAAACGACGTACGGTCCGAAGCTTATGGAAAAGAAACTCTCCAAGCATTCTTTGGTTGGGCCACTGCTCACTCGGAATTTGGTTCAAAACCTTCATCAGGCTGGATGAAAACTCTTGCAGGTCAGCAACTGAGTATCCATTGAGTTCCACCAAAAAGACCGATTGAGATGTGATGAGCGCCCCACGGACCCTATCCAAGTCGAAGTGTCGAGAGATCATTTGGACAACTGCCCGGCCTCGTGGAGCTTGACTTTGGCGGGTGCAACTTTCAATGTAACCCTGGACCTTCAACTGCAACTCAGGAATTCCTTTCAGACTCTTGATGAGCTCTGCTGCGAGCCACCTGTCCAGCCTTGGCACAAGGCCTGAGGAACTTGAACATTCCTGTGCAGAGTCAACCTTGAATGCAAGTGCAAACCAAGTCGTAAGGTAGTCAATTCCACTAATGTCAAGGCGTCCTAACATCAGAATCAGAGAATTTCTCCAAACCCTGAAGTCGGCAGCATTGTTGGGCAAGGGCTCCAACTTTGCACTTTGAAGGGCACGATTGTCAACGAGATCCCTTTCAGTCTTTTCTTCAACAATCAATTCATCCTCTCCAACACCCCCTCATCCTCTGACCAGTGGCCGTCATTTGGAAGCAGCTCAGGAGGGCCAATCGGATTGATCGAACCTGAAGGCTGGGGAAAATGATTGTTGCTATTGGGGTTCATTTGATTGGAATCCGCACCATTTTGCTCATAGTAGATCATTCGATCTGACAAGCACTGAATAGCTGCCATCATCGACTCCAGTCTTTGCTCCATTGATGACTGGAAAACATTGGCATGAGATTCGCTTGGATGTTCAACAACACGACTTTCAACTGCCACACCAAGATTCCCTGAAACGACATCTGCTACTTGAGCAGACCTCATCTGTGCCTCAACGCTTGCTGCCACGGCACAAGGAGCGGCGCTTAGAGCTGCCATGAGCTGCCAACCTCCCCTCAAGCCGGGCTTCACTCGATTCGAGACGGGAAACTTCGGACATCAGGCGACCAAATAAATTCTGGATATTGGACATTTGGGACTCAAAATGGGCAATCTGAGCCCATGGCTTGATTGCGATTGATCTGAACTTGGAGTTGATCACGGGTTGATTGGACATCCCCTTGAGCCCTTGAAGCTTTTCAATCTCAGAAGCTTTGGTACAATCGGACTGGTAAAGGCTTTCTGTAAGGTTCACAAGCTCATGAATGCGGCTACATGCTTGCTGGTAAACTTCTTGGGCTAATTGCTCTAAACCCTGGGCTTTCTCTTCGGATTCTTGAATGACCCGTCTGGCTTCGGATACCATGCTTGAAAACACCATGGGATCTACTTCAACATAAACTTGCTGGGATCGCTGATCATGATATTCAAAGGTGTTGTGAACCGAAGTCTGGGCCCCTTCTGAAGGAAAACCTGAAGGCAACTGTGATGGCTGGGATTCCAAACCAACTTCAAGTCCAGTTGAAGCAACAGCCAAACGTTTACCAGAGTCATGACCCTTTGGCAAACTCTTGATGACTTGCGACATGTTGCGCCTCCCCTGTCCCTGCCCCGGCTGGATGCAGCTTCTCCAAACACTGGAACGTCCATTGATTCAGTACTGATGATGATGTTCAAACTATCGAGGTTTGATGTTGGATCTGAACACAAGATAAACACGGCTATGCACGTGATTCAACAGAACAATCCAAGCTAGTCAATCCACCGTGGCGCTCGAAGGAGCCAAACAAGGTGGTTGTGGAGGATCAAAAGTCCAAAAGAAAACCAGGCAAAACCCTTCTCACTGAAGCACTGACGCAGGCTATGCGGTGAGGGGTGCAGGATATTCAAATGGATTGGTTAATTCAATGTAATAAACTGCAAAAGAAAGAGCTGAAAGACACTCTATTCAAATGATAAATCCAAATTCCAATGCACTTGCGTGAAACTACCGCTGAGGATGCAGTGAAACAACCCTGAAGCTTGCGGCGAAGCAATCCAGCTGTAATACGACTGCAGTGAGACCCTTGGGCTTGCGGTCGAAACTGCAAAATGCGATCTCTGTGCAAAAGAAAAAGGTTCAAGGAAAATCACAATCAAATTCCACTATGGGATTGAAGAAACTGCCAAGCTGATAAAGTCCAAAGACAATGATGGCGGATAAAATTGATTGCTGTGGCAAAATGTCAATTCCGTAAAATACTCAAGGCAAAATGCCGAGAATTCAACTTGCAGTCTTGGGCTCAAACTCAGAGCAAAATGCCGAGACCCTGAAGAATTATACGCAGCAAAATGCCGATGAAACTCCGGAGCACGGTACTCCTGCCATGGCGCTGACGCAGCCTTAGAGCAGCGAGGCAAATCAGGCACTGCTCCTGGAAAATACTTTGCAAACTGCTTTGCAGTCGACAACAAAGGCTCTGAAGAAATCGACCAGGCAAATGAAACACAATGACAAAAGACTGGAAATGAAATCAGATGAAACTTCGCCAGCTGTCAGTCTCAAAAGATACGAATCCAGAAACGGTACTGTTGGGGTGGTGAAAACGGATGAATGCCTCAAAGCGGTTCCGACACAGACCACGTGCTAAGTTCCCAGCCTAACACCTGAGGTTGTCGAGGTTACGATCTGGATGGCAATCTGACTGCTCACCTTGTGATCGTCTCAACGTGTCTTGGCATTGGAGGCAATGCACCCGCACATGGACGCAAGGACTTATAGGCGTCCTCCGGCCTTCAGATATGAAAATTTACGGGTCAAACAAGAGCCAGCTACGGCTGATAACCAATGAACTGTGAATGATTCCCCCAAAACAAAAGCACGCAAGTAAAAGCGCGGCTGAAACTTTTGCACGGGCATCTTGAGCCAAAATGTTGGCAGTAAATGACAAGGTGCTGACCCGAAGGGAAGGATACATTAAACATATGAAAGAATGGGCATGGTGAACCTTCATTTTCAAGTTATATATAAAATATATTAAATATAATATATACATATATATATATATAATTAAAAAAAGATCAATTAAATATATATATATCGATAAACATATTGATATATAAATATAATACTGAACATATACAATTTGATATATATATATATATTTAATACATAATATACAATAGATATAATATATATATGTATGGAATTTATGTATATATAAAAAAATGTAGTGAATGTATAACAAAAAATATTTATATATGATATATAAAATATCTACAATATACATATTATATGTAACATTTAAAAAAGTAAAATAAATATAAACATATATTCTATATATTCTTGAAATGTACTATACATTTATATATCATTGACAGAATCATTGAATTTTGAATAAAAAATAAAAAAATAGTCAATTTCTACCAGATGAAATATTTTAGTTCATTTCTTGGCTTGAACAAATTCATTTCTACCAGATAGAATATGGTCACAGATGGCATATTCAAACGATACAGGTAAAAATCCTCCAAAACTATGTATTTTACCGAAGAATAGCAAAAAAACAAGTGAAAAAAATAGGTTTAGTTCACATGCCTGGGAAAAAAAAACAAATCTACATGAATCAAGACAGATATAGACAGATAGAATATTCAACGGAGCAGGTAAACCAACACACCGTACCTATGTAAAGTGCTTCAAAAAAGTGTGTATACATAGCCATATGAGCTGCGGACCATATTTGTTACATAACGCAATTGACGGGGTGTTCCTACCTCGTTCTCCAGTCCCGTAACGTTTTTGCCTACCTCGTTCTCGGGGTGTTCCTACCTCGTTTTACAAGCTAAATATGATGTTTTTGACAAACCGGGGTACGTCCGAATACTACTTTCCATATACGCAAATAAGAGCCGTCGCTCATATATAGCCACAATGCCTATGTAAAGTGCTTCCACTGAGGGTACAAATATGTCATGAATGTTGCACCATACCTATATAAAGTGAGGTTGACAATGTACCAACTGTAACATCAGCCAAAGGATGATATATCTAGATATGTAGATAGATTCAGCCATAAAGATGTTTATGCACATGTATATATATATATACATATATATACATATATATATATATATATACGTGTTTATGCATTTCTAAATGATTATATATAGTAAATATGCATCTATATGTATATATATATATCCTTAAAAATCCTTTTCAATCATCAAAAATCCTCAAGAATCCTGCAAATTCCTTCAAATTCCGTCAAATTCTTTAAAAGTCCTGAGAAATCTTTTAAATTCCTGAAAATTTTAAAAAACTCATAAAATTTTCCAAGTTGGCATCCAATTCACGCCGAATTGGCATCCAAGTTCATCCAAATTCGAAGACCCTCAGAAATGCATCTTTAGAAAGGGGTCAGGAAACTCTTTTTAGACAGAGGTATTTTAGAGTGAAGGTGCTCAAATATTTCATGTTTTTCTTCTTTTATAGCATTCTGTAGCAACAAAATACGGTGGCATTCTTTCGTGGCAATTCCTTAAAATTCCTTTAAAATCCTTTAAATTCCTTAACATTCCAAAAAACTCCTTAAAATTCCTTAAATATCCTTAAAGACATTAAAAATCCTTAAACATCCTCCAAATTCCTTTAAAAATCCTTAAGCTTCCTTCAAATTCCTTTAAGATTCCTTACAACTCACTAAATTCCTGAAATTTCTCTACAATTCCTTTAAAATTCCTTTAAAATTCCTTGCCGTTCCTTAAAATTCCTTAGAATTCCTTCAAATTCCTGAAAAAGTTGCCGTCTAAAATGATATGCCCAATAAAATCAATATAAAGAGATCCTGGAAAAGCACTGGTTCCATTCTGCAATAAAATGCTCCAAACACTGAGTTTTTTGCAATAAAATTAGAATGGAATTTTATCAGGATTTCCCTGTCCAATAAAATGCTCAGACCAACCCCTTAACAATAAAATGACTAACCTGACTCCAATTTTGAAATTCCAATACATTACAGATCTCGCTTAGGCTATGCACGAGTCATCCATTTCTAGTGCGAAAATTGCCACGGGGATGTTTATGCTTTTTTTCAGTTCTTTACTTCTTCCGACGTTCTATCTTCCTTTCTCTTTACTTTACTTTATTTTAATGCATTTCATTTCCTTCCACTTTCCTTTCATGCGCGTTACTTCCATGTCCTTCCATTATCTGTTCATATCCTTTCATTGTCCCTACATGTCATGTCCAAAATCCTCACAGATAGAATATTCGGAATGCGTGACCGTGGTCACCATGGTGGTCACACTCTATATGTGTGAATATTGAAAAAAACAAATACACACATACAAAAGCATTTCCTTTCGTGTTCGTGCCATTCCCCTTTCATTTCTGTTCACATTCCTTTCATGCGTTTCTATGTTCCTTCCATGTTCCTTCCATTTCCGTCAATCATATCTTTGTTTTACGTTCACCTTATTTAATTTCCCTCCTTTCCTTTTGTTCTTTTCATGTCCTTCTGATGTTCCTGTGATTTCCCCTTCCGTTCGTCTCATTTTCTTTCTGATCTTCCTTTCATGTCCCTTTCATTTTACTCTCTTGTCACTTCAGTTTCCTTCCTTTTTTCCTTCAAGTCATTCCATTTTTCTTGTATGTCCTATCATTTTTTAAAATCATATCGAATTTCCGCACATGTTCGTTTTAAATTATGTCCAGGATCCTTGGTTGTTTTCATGATCTTCCATGCCCGTTTATGCATCGGGGTGCCAATTCATTATGTGATAATGTGCAGCAGTTTTAGAGCGGTCTAGCTTTTGTGCATAGGGCCTCAGGCCTTAAAATGCACAAAAACAATGAGAACTGGTTCTGCTATAAAATGCGGTTCCAGCAAATTCACGCCGAATTGGCATCCAAGTTCATCCAAATTCGAAGACCCTCAGAAATGCATCTTTAGAAAGGGGTCAGGGAACTCTTTTTAGACAGAGGTATTTTAGAGTGAAGGTGCTCAAATATTTCATAAGGATTGGCAATAGATTTGGGGTAAGATGCAATTGATTTGGGGAGGCTAAATATACCCTTCAGGGTCAATAGATTTCCAATAACTTAATTAATTATATCCTAATTTCTCCTAGGGGCCATCCAGCCCCGGCCCTGTTCCCGCTGGCGGCATCGCTGGTGGCTGCTGGCAACCAGTGAGTGGCATCTTTCTTCACAGCCTACCAGGCAAGCAAGTGGGAACTGATGTGGCATGCAGTGACTAATGGTTTCCAACCCCATAAAGGATGATATGAGATTGTATTGATTCCAATTGTAATGTTATAGGGTGCCATAAGTAAGTTGTGTTGTGGTCATGGGATAATTTTCTCACAACTTCAGACTATCAAAGCAGAATCAGCCCATCCAGCATTTGGAAGATCATGTTAAGGCTGATGTCAATCTCAGATCATGCAGTTTCCAATACTTCACTGGGTGGAAGTATTTGCCACAACCATTCTCCAAAAAAACCGGGCATGGTTTGGCCTTCCATGATGAAGATGGTCAGGTTTTTTCTCAAGGACATCGACTTTCCACTCTCAAGGTGCGCCTGGCCCCCATGGGTTAGTGGGAGCACTGCTCCACAAAGTTCATCCAAAGCATGATTGGAAGGTCCCCTAAAAATAATTATGTTTAAAAGGTATATGTGGTTGATGCTAACTTATCTGCATGGGTATGCATTAACCAATATCCATAATAAAAATTACAAAATATATCTGGGGCCATGAACATAGTGGTTTTTCTAGTGGTTGCGGTTGCTCAAGAAAATGAAAGCTTGGATTTCAGCTAGCTGCAACACATTTTGGGTCAATTCATCCGATGTAATGATTTTACCCTGGTGTGACTACTTGTTGGGTTTGATCTTGCACTTGCTGGAATCTCAATATTACCAAAAAGGTTTTAACCAAGAATTGTCATGTTTCAATCACTTGGTTGTTTAATGAGCGCATTTGGATTATTTTGTGGTAACAAAATACCCCGATGGTTGCATAATGACAATGAACATAATAATGTATATATATACACATCATTATACATATATATATATACATATATATATACATATTACATATAATTATATATATATAATTTCATTTATATTTAATATATATATATGTGCATCGACATCTTGACAAGATGAATCTATATGTTTTGACCAGATTCACAATGAAAAGCACTGGTGGGTCCAGCAGCCTGATCCAGGTCCACCAATCCCAGGCCTTACTGCAACTCTCAAACATATTGCATTTGAAGGCCTCAAGGATTTCTGAGCCCAGACCCTGTGTGTCTGTCTGGGTTCCGGGGTGCCATGGAGCTACCGGGCGATGATGATGGGCCCACTGTGTCCATGGAACCCAATAGCCTATCTATGGTTCCTGTACCAGATGATTCAAGCACGACGCCAGCACGAAAGTCATCCCAACGCCTGCCTGATTTGGAGTGCCCTTGTTGGCTTATATAATCTAAAATCAAATTTTTCTATGGCCCCAGGAATTCTGCATGGGGTAGCTACAAATTGTTTGCCATCTATGTTATCTGGGATGTAAGGACGCCTCCTGAGAAACCAGTGATCTGTTGCAAGAAGATGTGCATAAACGACTTCAAGGCCAATGAGTCAAGAATGAAGCATCTCCAGGATACTTGATTTTCTACTGTCCAGAACATTTCTGCTATTTACCCTGCCACTTAAATAGTGTCTTCCCAAAAAAAATGTTAGCAATTAATTCCTTCACATGTCGGCCTCTGAGGAATATCGGCAGAAGATGGCTCCCATGAGCGGCTCTGACCTGAACCAGTTTATTCTGGGCCTACTTGGAAAATGCCCAAAAAAGGATGCCACAAATGGCAGTACAGCTACTTTGGACAATTAATGATTCATTGCAATACTTTTGCAGTGTTTTTTTTGTTTCTTTTCATTTTCTTTTGCAGATTATTTGGCCCGATGTAAGGCTTCTTTGGCCTATGAGCTCATTTGCTATCCTGTTTGCATAGCAGCATTTTGCGTCCTGTTGGGGGTCAATGAGAAGCGAGCCACTTTGACACCAAACAAATTATTTTGATTTGTTATGACCCAAATCTTTGACTATCACAAAATTTGTTGGAAAACCAAGTTCAAGTAGTTGACCACCCAAGGTAAGGCGATTGGCTTCAGGATTGCCTGACAACTCCCTTCCAACGGATATGAGAAAGTACAATGGGAAGCAGCCCACTGAGAAATATGCCAGTATTGATGGATTCCTGGCCTATGCCTACTGGCACATTGTTCCTTGCACAATGGTGGACATTATGTTTTATTTTTTCTTTGAACAATCATATATTCATACAAATATATATATATAGTAAACAGCTGGCACATAGAATATTAAAAATAAACAGGTGCCACTAAGAATATGGAAAATACAGAGCAAAACCTATTCCTGGAATGTCATCCACATAGAATATTTATCCACATAGAATATGGGGGTATATATATATATTTACCTTATCAAAATCCCAAGACTCTCCAAACAAATCGTTGATCAGTGAAATCTAAAGTAAACAGCACGGACATCGCCATGCATCATGATGGTTTGATTTATGATCAACCCAACACATCTTTACAAGGTTTATATTCTATGTGCATCGTCTGTGGATATGCACTTAGAATATTGTTTTCACCCAGGAAAATCATGTAACTAATAGACCTATTCGAAAAAAAACAATGATTAATATTCTAAGTGCTAGCCAGTTACTATATATATATATGCAGCATTGAACATATTGAAGCTTCTTTTTTTGGCATCAATACTCCATTCTGGGTTGGTTTTCATGGAGGCTGAGCCATTGGCTGAAACGGAACCGCTGGAAGAAGTTGATGGTGCTGCACTTTGTGCTTCTGGCCTTTTCCTCCCAGGCTCTTTGGATGAAACCATTGATGTTTTCTTTTTACTATGCCTATCTTGTTCCCATTCTCTTTTGTGAATCTTGTGATGTCAATCTTGTCCCACTGTCTGTGTGGAATGGTTTACTTACATGATTGCCCCCAGCCTTTCCCTCATTGCTGCCCAGGTGCTTGCGACTCTGATTTGCCAGCCTCACTCCTTGGATCGGAAGCATTCTACAGTGCCCATGCTTTGGCCCAAACTGACCCAGTGGAGGCTGTGAAGATGATGGCTAGTGGTTCCAAGGAATGTACCTATGCTGAATGATATTAAGGGGATAGAAAAGGGATTGATAAGGGCCCCAAAGATTCATAGATATGTTCTTTTCAAAAAACGACCTCAGGTATGCAACCTCGGCACTTGCAGCACATGAGCATAGAAGCATTCTATGGGCTCTACCAGTTGTGGTGTGCTGGGAACCAATATCAGGATGACAATGTGGCCAAGATCCGGCGCTTTACCCAGGTGTTTGAGGAGAAGTGGAAGCATTTGCTCCGTTTCCGTGAGGTATCACAGCATGCAAGGTATCATGATCACCATTTAGATACATGTTTCTTTGTGAGCAAAGGTTTTCCCCATGCAAAAATGTAAGTCGATCTTTTTTAGTGGGAGGCATGCCATGCCAACTTAGGTGCACTCAGTGCAGTGAGTTCACACAACGTTTGAAGAAAACATGCTTGGAACACGAGAGGCAGCAGCTTGAGAAAAGCCAGGCAGTTCACATCAGGAACATTCGAATGTTTCGCCAAACCCAATCCCGATTGAATGTGCTCAGTGAGCAGGCAGTTTCGGGTGAGGGTAGCAACATGAGCATTTTGAAGCTTGATCTGGATGGCTTAGATCAAGCCAAGACCCGATATCCTCGCATGAACACCATCAATTCGAAGTCATTGGCTGGGGCATGGCGCCCCCAGATCCATCTTCTGGGTTGCATCATATGGGGAGCCCTTTGGATTATTATATTATTGATATTTTTGATCTCCTTTTAAAGTATCATAGGATAACAATATATGTTATTCTTTCCTCATTCCTACTGACCTGCATTGGCAGTGTGGCCCCCATGTAGACTAAGGTCGTTGAGATATACTTTGTCCTCGAACCGGATGTACCGAAGGATTCTTCAACAGAGGTAACTTGCATCCTGAAAGCCCTGGACCATGCCAAAGAGATCTTGGACAAGCGAGGCATCCCAATGCCGGAGCACTTGGTGGTGGAGGCCCACTTGGGTTTCTGACATCATCTTAGTATATCTTACAGTAGTCAAAACAATTTCAATCAAACATCTTAATATATATGACATCATCTTGTGATGTAGGTAAATTGTGCTGAAACAACAATGATTTCTTCATAGTTCTTGGTGAACATGGCAACCCTGTAGACCGATAATTGTGCAAGAGAAGGAAAGAACCAAGTGGTGGCAAAAATGTCAGCAATTGCAGTCTGCACACGCAGGCTCCCTTCCATTTGCATTCAAGGTCAAAACATTTTTAATGATTGGATTTATGGTGTTTTCCCAGCCAACCCATGTAGTTTTCCTATATTTTCCCTGTTGGCCCTCCAGTGCAGCCAAGGTTCAGATCCGTCACCCATGTGTTTGGTGAAGTAGGCCACACACATGGGCCTGTGGACCAAAGGCTGTCTGTTGTGGTGTCAGCTTTCTCGGCTGCAGACACTATCCAAACTCCACAGGAGAAGGGTTGATACTTGAGTTTGCCATGGCATGATTACTAGTATTCTAATGTCAGTTCAATATATATATATTATTACCTTTGGATTACCTTTGGTATTTACCAGCTTCAGCCCTTACAAGGACTTTGTCAACATCGTCAAGGAGAAGGTTCAGCCAGTTCGCAAGCGAGAATTGAGGGTAGAGATGTTGGAGGGCTCCCTTGATTGGAAGACACACTTCCACCAACTTGGCATATATATCAGTGGTTTGGTTTCCAGCCGCAACCCTGATCGCAGTCTGAACCATTGCTGGCGATTCATCAGAAGAGCTGATCCTTTCCAGTGGTTCAAGGTAGTTTTCAAACTCCAAATGCATTATGATTTGATTTTATCAGTTCCCAGATAAAACTGTTTTACTTTCCAAATCGTTTACCCACCAAGTCTAAGTCTAACTATCTATGAAAATTCAATGAAAATACCTACATTCCTATTCCTTTCATGCCTCCCATGCATTGCTCTCTAAGGACCTACCTCTCTATGATGACTCCACTGGTGATTCATGGGCACCAGTAGAAATTCCTGGCGACCCTTGGTTGGTGATAGGAGTTTGCATTGATGCATTTATTTTTACTACAAGAATGGTTTCCCATCAATTAAATTTAAACTTTTTACCCCTATAGCTGCTACCTGCAATTATATTTTCTTTGAGCACCTATCCAAACAACATTGAGGAAGACTACAATCACTCCCCTGATGATGCCATCTTGCTGGTGAAGTTTTTGGTGAACTCAGAATCGCTTTCACAACCACCACTCACGTTCGTGCCAGCTGCCTTCATGCCAAAGATGTCCAAGGCAGTAGCCAGCTTGCCAAGGAACCTGTTGTCGGACAGGGCAAAGAAAGAGCTACATGGTTTCATAATTTGTCAGCAAGTTCAACATATTTCAGGATGTTTTACCAATCAGCAGCCGACTTATTTATCACATTGTCATTGGGTGTAATTTGCATCCAAGACACACAGTTTTTGTCAGGCAAAAGTGCAATCGTAGTCATAAGGACCATAATGGACCATGATGTCATCATCATACCTGAGCAGAGATGCAGCTGCCCGGCTTAGGTTTTTGAAGACGGCTGACTTGGTCTCAAAGGAACCATGGGAACTCACAGGAGCAGCGGACTGCTTGAGACAATGGGTGGATCTCTGGCATCAACTAGCCAAGCATCTTGTGGATAGCCAACCATGAACAACCATCAGATCAATTAATTGTTCATAGCAGGATTTTGCCCATTAGATCAAGCAATAAAATGTTTACTATATGTGCCATTCAAACAATGTTATGCGTTTATTGTTTCAGGATTTCACAGTTCATATAACTCTTGCAATGGAATAAGGCTTGAACTGTCATTATGTTTTCATTTTTTAGACTAATCTGCTATCCAGACCTGTGGGCCACAATCCAAGGACAACAATGACAGGCAAGAATGGCAGCCTGTTACACTTCCCGAGTGGTGGTTTGCAATGGATGTCAGGGCTGTGGGTGTGACCCCAAATCCAGAAGGGTGCCTCAGCATCTGATGGCAGCAATTTGCAAGGTGATTACTTCCACAGAAGGGTATAAATGGGAATGTCTCACAATCAGGATCCCAAATTTTACTTTTTTTTTTCAACTGAATGTCCTGACAACAATAAGACATTTCAAGTGCCCCCTATATCCCCCTATGTTAAACTATTTCTATATATACTACTATGAGGTTAGTTTTTGCTAATCAGTAATCACCTAAAACATTGCAATTTTGTTGATGTTTTGACTATCCTCGACATAGGTGGCACAAATTTGCACCGGGTCCTGTCCTACCAGTTGCTGTGGCCCCTGACAAGACTGCTTCTAGACCAGAGGGGCAGCCGAAGCCAAAGAGAGGTCGACCCCCCAAGAATCCAGATGGACCACCAGCGAAACGAGGCCGCCCAAGGAAAAATGCAGGCCAAGGAACTGCTGAGGATCCCTTTGCTGAGCAATCTGCAGTGGCTCCCATTGCAGTGCCTCCTGAGCCGGTTCAAGAGGTGGGGGATGGGATTGGTGAGGAGCCTGCACCACAAGATCAGCAGGTGATTGAGGTGCCCCCCAACCAGCCACCACCCCCAACTCGTGCAACATTTGCTGGGCGAACCCGGGTGGGATCAGAAAGTTTTCAGAAGCAATGGGATGACCGCAGGGCCAAGTACTACCAAATGGTACCTCCTGAGCTTTGGAAGGATGGCTTGGAACGTGATTTCTGGGCTTTGTGTAGCCAATGTGAGAGCTTAGATGATGCTGTGGTGAAGTTCCTTGAGAAGAACCCTGCCAACAAGCCCCTTGACCAACCACCCAACCATCGTCTTGCTGCAGCCCCGGTTCGTCAGGCAAAGCAGCCCAAAGCAGCAGCAAAGGTGAAGAGCAAACCGGCTTGTCCTGGTGGCCGTGGACGTGGAGCTGGCCGAGGACGTGGGAAGGGTCGAAAAGGGGCAGGTCAGTAGTTTCAATTTTAGTTTCTGTTCTTACTGCATTTAGCAATGGCTGAGTGCAAGGGGCTTTTGAAGGATAATGATCTTTCAACCGGGGCTTACAAAAGTGGTATCAAAGATACATGATTTGGAGCAACCTGTCACCCTGACGGGACAATGCATATGGCCCATTGGGAGCCTGAGCATGAGGGAAAAAGGATCAAAGAAAAAAGTGACATTCAAAGTTGCAAACATATTTGAACATATTTGAACAGCAACAGGCAACAGGTGAACAAATTTAAACAATGATGGCTTGCTGTTGCATGAACATTGGATTGCCATTTGCACACTGTCATGTGCATTCAATCACGTGAGATTATGCGCACAACTCCTGGAATTTATTCTGGTGTTTATTTGTCAAAAAGTGTTTGTTGCAACTTTACCAGCATCAGGGGTGAGGTGGCTTATGGCAAACCAAGGTACAAAGTTATCACCAGGGATTACCAGCCGATTCAAAGATAGATTCAATGACATGCTCAGAACAAAATATTCAAAATTTGCACCATCAACCAGCCAATTCAAAGATTGATTCTGTAATCAGATGATCTTGATAACATGGTTTTTCCACTGGTTCAACTCTGTCATTAAATTTTAGACTCCTGGCCATGTCCTGTCTTGACTTGCCTGATGCTGATGACGATGGGCCTACAGTTGAAGTTTGCCCTCTCCCAGTGCCAAAGCAGAAGCCACGAGCCTCTGCTTGCAAGAGCGCTTCAAAGCCCAGAGCAAAGCCGAAGATGAAGAGACCGAGTTCAGCCAGAACCTCAGGTGAGCCAGAAGCTCTGCAGGCTTTGCCAGACAGTGATGATCTGGGCCCTGTCTTCAGTTCTGATGAGCCTTGTGGATCCCATCAAGTTCCTAAAGATTACCTAGAATATGATGATGACACTTTGAAGGCCGCTGCAGCAAAGATCCCGAGCAATGTCATGCTACCATATAGTGATTTGCCCTTTGGCTCACCTCCTGCATCCCAGAATGTTCGCTGTACATTGTGGGAAATCTTCTCATTACCCAGGCTTCAGGCAACCATGCAACAACTGGGAGGGACATGCCGAAGAACATATGACATCAAACACTTTTGGGACCTTGGGATTGAAGTACTGCAGCGGACTTTGCTGGTAGACATTTTGGTGCTCCAACCACTCTCGACCTTTTTGTCACCACCATGCACATGGGTATCACCCCTGCAACATACAAACTGGAAGAGAATGAAGGTTGAAAAGCGTGTTCCCAATTTGATTGAAGCCCTGCAGCTGATTGACATGGCAATGTGGATAGCCTATATTCAGCTCACAGAGAATCGAATCTTTGCATTCGAACACCCCGACCGGTCCCTTGCCTGGGACAGGGACTCCGTGACTTGGTTTTATCAAAATAGGGATGCCCCAAACCCTTATTTTTTTGTATTTAGAATTTAGCTTTGGGGCATTTTGACAGTATGACTTTTGGGTTTATTTTCCTACACTGACTTCCCACTGATACTTGCATAGTAATTACACTTTATTGTTCTCTTAAGCCTTCAGCATTTGTTTCATACCTTGATGACATTTTCATTCCAATCCAGGTGATGCACATTCGAGATCACCCTGGTGTCTTGATCGCTGTCTTTGACCAATGCATGATGGGATTGGTATCCAAAGTTGAGAAAAAAACTATGAAAAAGAGAACCCGGGTGATGACAAATTCACTCTTACTATTCAATGAGCTACATGGCAAGGATTGTGATGGCCAACATGATCACCAGGTGATTCAAGGAAATGAAGGGGGCCAAAAACGTTCCCAAAGTGCACAGGTGTACCCACCTCCCATGGTGCATGCCATTTGCAAGGCATTGCGTGCCGAGGAGCAGCAGAAGTCATAGAGACTTTGAAGTTTTGCCAGATTTGAACTGAGCCTGCAGCAAAAGAATGATCCAAAATAAATCAACTTTTTTACTTGACACTTGATTTGGGGGTAGCGATCTACAAGTTTCATCCGAAACTCACCTAGATCAGCTCATTTTGGAGTTCTATCTACAAGACCCAAATCAAGTAGCAAGTAAAAAAGTTGATTTAAATGCTCTACTTTGTAGATGTCAACATTGGAATTTTGAAGCTCAAGATCTGCAACTTTCAATTGAAACTTGTAGAGATTCCTAGGGAAAAGGGATGTGTTGTAGATGTCTACTACTCAAAATCAAAGGTTGAGATCTACGACAGGTTCAGAAAACCCTAGGATTTAGGTAAGTTTCAATTGAAAGTTGCAGAAGTCAACATCCATTTTTTGGACATGGACATCTACAAGATCACCTTTTCTGTTTGCACTAGATTTGGGATCAAGACTTCAGGGTTTGATGTGTCCTTGCACACCATGGATGATGATGTGGGAGATACACAGCAATACCTTCCGGAATCTATCCTTATTTAGCCTTTACAATTTTATGATTGTCCATTGCCTAACCCAAAGGTTTTTTATTTATATAATATAACCTATTACCTTGGAAATTCTAAAGCTTTGCTAAGGATGATGAGTTCTTTGAGGCAGAAACTGCAAGCATTGCAGTTGACTCGGAGCCTTGTCAAGGTCTAGATTTTCACCTTTTAGGGGGAAATGGTGGGTCATGATGAACCATGCAAGCCTCAAATAAATATAGCAAGGGAAACCAATTATTCCAACCCTTATTGCCAGTTGCCAAGGAAGCTGAGTCCAGTGTCCTCGTGGCCAAGCAACTGGAGTTCGGCGCAAAGACCCTTTCCTTGGAATCAGCAGGGAGTGGTGGGCAAGACATGGAGAAGTTGGAGACATCGAGCATGGGAACCAGTACAGCCCTAGCCATGCAGGCCACTCCCACTGAGATGGTGTATGAAAACATAGTGAGTCTCATCAAGGGCCCCTTGGTGAATATTAACAAAGATGTATAAATCACTATTTCATAAATCAAAGGAAATTGTATGTCAATGATGATCGAACAGATTGATCGAAGATACTTATATTTTTCTTGATCAACCACATTTTGAGGAACACCAGTTAGTCTTCAAAAATGAATGTGGGTCCTACTTCTGTTATTGATCCTGGTGGCATGATTTTAGGTGCTGGTGGAGCACGACAATTCATTCACCAAAGCTTTCCTGTGGCAGCCTCCCGTCAAGAAGAGCTATGTCGTTTGCTGAACAGCATGGTGCCCCCACTGGATTCAGAAACGTATACAGTGCACTACCCGATTCCAGCCTGCTTTCCTGGCAGCTTATTGAGAAAACCATCAGCCTTTTATATTGATAGTGGTTCAGTACTTCATTAGTTTCCAATTTCATTGTTATCACAATCAGGTGTTTTTTTGAATTTAAACCTTACACCCAATCCAAGGTCAAGAAGATTCACAGCCTGCATTCATCCTGGATGTTACTTCCTTCAACATGGAGAACTCTGGGAGCCTACGGGAGCCTCCGCAGTTGGATGTTAGTGTCAAGTTATTGTGGCAATTCGCCGCAGATGGCTTCGTGACCGCTGGTGATGCTGTACTGGTGAGGCTGAAGGACATGGGGATAGCACCAAAACATATCATATATTTCTGGAATTATATTCAAAAAAAATACCCTGTAAAAGGATAATTTTTTGGCATAGAATTGACTTGTCTCTTGAAGAAAAGGGGTACCCATTTGGCAGAATCTTAGCAATTTAGGGCTTTATACCCCATTCACATCTACCCAGTTCCCCATTGCATGCAGGATGCTGATGTCAAAAGCCAAGGCGTCATTCCCCAAGGGTCAATTTGCTTCCTGAAGGGTGCAGCACGTGTGACAACAGCAATTGCTGCAGTGGTGGCATGTTCCAAGTTGAAGGTAGAGGCCAGGGGGTGGAAAATTGTTGGAATTATTTAATTGTCTTACATTGCAACAGACAGCAATGGCTGTGGCTAAGTTAACTATTTAAGTCTTTACTTGATGGTCCTCGCTTTAAAAACCATTCCATACCATCTTTTGAAACATGATGGAAACAACTTGCAGGTGCCAGCACTTCTACTTAAGGGTCTTCAATGCATCAAATGCAAGCATGTGCGAATGCAGAATCGACAGGATGAATTGTCAACCAATCTTTGGTTATGTTTTCATACGTTTTCCAATTTTGGGGTTACAGGGAAAAGGATTAGTTTTTGTTTTTGCAATCGGCCCAATGGAATCTTCAGTTCCAAAACATTTGAGGTTTTTCAACATGAAGATGAGTCAGCGAGGTGCAATCCGAAAAGCACCAAGTTCTATGTCATGGGTGGTCTCCCTCACCAACATGTCCATTGGGTCCAAGACATTCGATTGGGCTGGTGTCATCAGACAATGGAGCCATGGTTTGAATTGTCAATTTTGTTTTGATTCCCAAATCCACAGCTAACCCTTACATAGACACCACTGAGAAAACATAAGCAATATTTTTGGGGAGTTTCATCCACAGCCAAAGTCAGGAATGATGTGGCTGCCCGACCAGACAGGCTGATTGGGGCCAAGAACATGGCTGTGACAAACCTTTTCCAGATGCCCCAGCCGGTCAGAGATGCAATCCTGGAGTGTGTGTCACGCTATGGATGGGAAGGCCTTTAGATATCAAAAATTGCTCAGCTGTCTTTTTTTTCCCATGAAAAGAGATTAAATTCAACAAGTCATTGGGTGTTATTTTCTATCTATCACTATGTAGCAACATTGTCAGGTTCTCCATTCTCAGATGAATCCCTGCAGTCCAAGAAGCTGCTCCCAAATTTCAACCACAAGTCACCTCGGTCTCCAAAGGGCTCTCCGTGGCAAACCCGGTTGAAGAATTCTGATCAAAGCTGTTTGCTTACCATGCGCATGGTTGCCAATCAGTGGGCAAATTTGAAACCTTCAGAGCGGAACAGACCATTGCTTCGACAACAATTGGAGGAGAAGTCCCAAGTCTGTGCTTTGGCATGCCCCTTGCATTTATCTTCAGAAAAAATGTTGTGGATAATGGGATTGGGGATATTGATATACCTCTTTGGCAAAACCATGTGATAAATTAAAAACACAGCTTTACACCCAATTACTATGTAATCCAATGGTTATACCATGTTGAAACACAGCCTGTCCAGGTTCCATCGTGGAGGAGCTCACCACCCAGATTCCAAATATAGAAGGTGTCCTGAAGACCAAGTTGCTTTGGTAAACATAGCATTTATTTCTCTTATGATTCCTTTCTTATTCTTTTAATCAAAAATCCATCCAAGATCAATTTACCAATCATCTAAATTTACCATTTACACCCAGGGCCATCCAGTTAGCCAAGATTCTGGTTGCATTGAGAGCCAAGTGCAGCCAGTCTGCCCCCAGGTTCCTTGAGCGGCTGGAAAGAGGTGATACAACACTTGAAATGGATTTGTTGGGCGCAGTTGAGGGAAGATCAGAGGCGTGGTTACCACGTGAAAATGCATGCAGCTCTTCTGAATTATCTATGAAACAAGCTATATAATTATCTTTGGTCCTGGCAGTGGTTTGCTTTGCTGTATTGGTCCTGAAACAAAAAATGGGGTCAACATTCATTCAATGTGGTTGCCAGACTAGTCAACTCCAACAAGGCATCATGAGCATCTTGAATGAGATGGCACCGGACAAGCTTCCACGAGATGTGGTGTCACAAGGGGATTTGGATGGTGCAAAGGCAACCATTGATGCTTCAGCCCTTCAACTGCTGCTTGAAGAACTCAGATATGATGAGAAGTGTCTGAGTGCATACTTCACCAAGTTGAATTCCTATCAAGTACGCCTCTCACACCAACGAGATGAATGGATTCAGAAGCGACTGGAACGTGCCAAAACATCAGTCAACAAGTGGTTCGATGCAAAGGCATGGGTTCTTTGAAAATAAAGGGATGATATCCACATAAAGAACAGCACAGTAACAACAAACCAATTTTAAATCTGTATAATAAATCTATCCATATATCTGTCAAAGTCTTCCCCATTACTTCTTCAAACACCTGTGCCCACCCTTCCACCAACAGGTCTCTTCGATGTGCTGGCCAGAGAGGATTGATGGAGCCGCTGCCATCAACCTCATGGCACAAGTTGAGCAAGCTACACAGACATGGATGCAGTCTTTGCAACTGCGGACGCCAGTTACTTCCTGATGATTTAGCTTTGCATATCTTTGCATAGTCTTGCCTGTATATATTTGTAGTCCATTGGGTTGTTGATAGTCACTGGGTTGTTAGCAGAATTATCTTATTTTGATGTTTTTTTGGCTGATTGAGGCATACCTGTTCATTGCGAACTTTTCAGCCCCATCACTCATCAAGTCAGAGCTGGTCCCCTGCATCCTTAACTTGGTGGGTCGGATGGTGTCCGCCAATGCAGCTACCAGTGCAGCAACCTTCATCTCACCTGTCTTTGCCAGCAAGAACCAGAACTTGTTTCAGGAAGAATACGGCCTTCTTCGAACACTGAGCAATGCTGGCTGTGCAGTGGACATTGGGTTCCAGCTGTTGTTTGACCCCAAGTCAAAGGTTGACACTTGCTATTGCTAGTGTTTGGCACCATGTTTTATTTAAATCACTTTTCACCACCATGCTTTATGGGAGATATTATTAATACAAATAAATGCAAATGTATTTTCTTCACCTTTCCTGGGTGTGCTTTTGGGCAACTAAGGATACCCGGGATCAAAGGCCAATGGCGTACTCTGGCAAATTCATCAGCCCCCACCAGTCCACCCTTGATGTGGCCAAGGAGCAGTGGCTGTGGAAGGACAGTGCGCTGAATCGCCTTCGCAGGACAGTTGGTGAGGCCAAACAGATTCCAGCCAAGGCTATGATAGTCATGGAGGAAGTTGGGAGCACAGCACTACCTGGTGCAACTTCTGTACCCCATGGAGCCCCAAAGTATTCCCAGCTTGGCAGTGATGCTGCAGAACAATTGGTGATGTCTGCATTGGTATCTGGGTGAAATTTAGGGGATTCATCATAATAATTAGATCGTAAACCAAATCATGTTCTGATATAATGCCCAAATCTGATTTAAAATTTGATGGTGAAACTGCAATGGTGCCTTTAAGGACGGAGTTACCTTTCCAAACTCGACTGGATTGGTGGTGGTCGACTGCAACCCTGGGGTGGGGAACTTCATGGAAGCTTTTACCCAGGTGATCCAGAAAAACAATGTGGCAGCACTGTATGTGCCTATCTTTGGTGATATGGAACACCGTGATTGGTTCGACCAATTTTGGAGTTCTGAACTTTGCCAGCAATTTCAAGAGGGGAAATTGGCAGTCCCAGGTTGCGAGAGGCAAGGTGGATTTGTTCAAATTTTCATATAACCAAATCAGGGCCAAAGTCAACATAATTATGTCAGTTCAGATCAACCTTGGAAACATGAACTTTTAGTTCTTGATCCCTGCAGGCTCCAAGATGATCCACCACCAGAACATTTAGAAGCACCACCCGAGCCACCTGCCCTCAAGCGATGTGTCTATGGCAAGGTGGGGGGGAGTTATTTTTCCAAATTTGCTATATGATTCTTGACATCTTAAATTGTGTTATGTTATAATAAGCCAACATCCAAAAATAAATGGTGATGTCAATATAATTATACAATCACAAAATCACAAAATCAGCAAGCAGGTGGATGGTGAAATTGTCACCATTGAGATCCCCAATGCAGTGCACAATGCCTGGGAGAAGCATGATGATTTCCAGACCTTTCATCAGGACTTTGTTGGCCGCAATCCCCCAGCAAAATCCTTCAAGGGCCAGAAGGGGAACAAAAAGGATGGCAACAAGCAGCCTGGACCCAAAATTCCACCCAAGAAGCGTCGCCTCGTCCCTGATCTGTCGGATTGCATTGTGGATCTCGATCAGGTGTCTCCTGCGGCTGATGATGAAACATTGTGCAGTGTTCCCATTCTCAATGCCCGAGCAGCAGCCAAGCTATCAACCATGCCAGTGCTGTGCATCACAAAGAAGTTGGGTGCATACATCAAAAACGAAAGTGGACATGAGGCAGCTTGGTTTCCCAATGATTGTTCCTTTTCCACCCTGGTTATTCCTCACCCAATTTGGGTTTTTAAATATGTTTTTCCTATTGCTTCTTTTTTTGTGGTTATGGAACCTGTGCAATTTGGCTGGGAACACAATCCAATGGGTATGTTGATCCATTTGCCCAGGTGACCATGGCAGAGGGAAGCCTACTTTGTGGCTTTGGAAAGGCCAAGTTCATGGAATGTCCAGTGGACTTGTCGACATTGGATCCCGATACCCAGATCATGTTTGATTGCACTGGAGACACCTTTGCATCCATTGACAAGGAGATTACTGGCTCCATGCAGGAGATCCTGACTTATGCCAAAGAAAAGAAACCGAGCAATTGCAAAATCTGCTACCACACGGCCACGACTGAGCCAGATGGAACATGGATCATCAAGAAGGAGGGGTGTGGGAACAGCATATTGTATTACATTTATCTTGCACTGTTTTTTGTTTAGGCATTTATGTATATACATTTCATTGTGTACCTACTGATCTGTTTATCATCATTATGTTTACTGTTATTCATTTCATGGTTTTAATGACATCATTTTCAAAAAACATATGATGTCCAAAATCCTACCTTGAAGGACCACAACATCATGTTTTACATCTTGAAGGAAGATTCGAACACAAAGTTCACCCAATCCCAAGTGGCAAAGCTCCTTCTTCCAGCAACTGCCTGGAATTGCAAGGCCGCCAAAGTGTCGTGGCACTTGAAGTGGAGCCTGAATGGGCTGCAGCCACAGCGGGCTGTGGTGATGATGACCCAGGACACAACCATTCCTGCTGGGAAAGCTTTCATGTTGCAGTAGTGGGGCCCCTGGACATTAGTTGGAAATTTCACCAAATACTCAACGACATATAAAATTGCATCGTTTTATCCATTTTGGATTGCTTCTGTGAACTGGGGCCTAGCTATGTTGGCAACAAGATTTTGGTATTCACGCGCGCACACACTGCTGAATGTGCATTTTGTACTGTTTTTTACAGTGTTTTCTGCTTCTCTACAATGCTGCCCTGGGGGGGGAGGGGGGGGTGGCAGGAACAACTGATGTAACTGATGGTACAGGGGGGGATGTTAACGTTCCATGTAACTTGCTCACGTTGTTGATGCTACGCCACGCTGGGGTGGGGGGGATGTTAACGTTCCATGTAACTTGCTCACGCTGTTGATGCTACACCACGCTGGGGTGGGGGGGGATGTTAACGTTCCATGTAACTTGCTCACGTTGTTGATGCTACGCCACGCTGGGGTGGGGGGGATGTTAGCTGACTTCTTGTTCAACTAGCCAAACTTCTGACTCAGCAAAGATGACAAACCAAGTCGGCTGTGCGTAAACAGGCCATCCGACCGATATATATTATATATCATATATTTATATATTATGATATATATATATATAATATTATATATATATTACTATGTTATATATATATATATACCATGACCACCTCTAAAGAATTTATTCCAAGCGGGGGCATAGAATTTAGGCATTTTTGCCATTCACTAGTCATGGTTGCAAATGACATTGAACTTGGGCACAAACTTGACTGGTGCCATAGCAGAGTGGTGCGCTGACTCGGGCTACAGGCTCTTGGCCATAACATAGCACCCTCGACTTGGAGGGCACTGGTCTTGATCAGACCTCTGGCGACCGTCGAGCGTGAATGGAAAGGCGAGCATTCAATGCGCATATTGCATCCCATGGGGGTGATGGTGATGATTGGCCATGGCCCTGGCCAGTTTGGCTGCGCTGGCCACAATGGAGTGGCACTTTGAGGCAACAATTTGGATGTTGCATCTGCAGAACTGACCAGGAGAGGTGAGCAAGGACACCTTTAACCAGTCATATCAGTCATATCCAACAGTGGATATTCTTCCATTGATACTGGATCAATGATGTTGCTTTCTTTGATTTACTTGTTCCAAATCATTTCCAGATTGCACTGGTTTGTTTTTTTGTCAGTGCACTCATCTCTGTTCCTATTTTGTCCCTTGATCAAACTCGACCCACTCTTTTTTTGGAGGGGACTAGGTGGTAAATGGTGGTAAGGGGTAGCTCTTGTAAGGGGGTAAGATGTAAACAGGGGGTAAGATGTAAGGGGGTAAGATGTAAAAAGGGTAAGATGTAAAAAGGGATCAATATTTAAATTCATATCTTATGCAATTATATGGTGCCCAGCCAGCCACTTCTTCCACATTTTTTGGAACCAAGCATCGGCTAGGAGATTGCGCCAAGCCACCCATTCACTGGCTGCCACCAGCCACCAACGTGGCCAAGAGCGGGGCGGGCGCCCAGCTGGAAGGATGGGGGTGCTTCCCCCACAAATGTAGGTTTATTATGGGTTATTAAGTAGTTAGCCCCCAGTTCTTAGGTAAATATTTGGATAATATAAATGGTTAGGCCATTAAGAAGTTAACATAAACCATGGAATATTTAGGTCCCCAACTAGTTAATATAAACCATGGAATATTTAGGTCCCCAACTCAATGAACATAAAACATATTTACAATATTATAATAGTAGACATTTATAAAATTATAACATTTAGGCATCCAAGAAGCCAACATATACCTACCATACCAATTTGGGCGCATAATTCAATGGACATCAGCAATGGGATCTACAGTAATTTACTAGCCAAAATTGGGTTCCCAAATCAAATGCTTTTGACCCAAGATCAAGTGCTATTCCTTTCATGTTGTTTTTCTTTTATAGCATTTTGTAGCAACAAAATACGGTGGCATTCTTTCGTGGCAATTCCTTAAAAATCCTTTAAAATCCTTTAAATTCCTTAACATTCCAAAAAACTCCTTAAAATTCCTTAAATATCCTTAAAGACATTAAAAATCCTTAAACATCCTCCAAATTCCTTCAAATTCCTTTAAAAATCCTTAAGCTTCCTTCAAATTCCTTTAAGATTCCTTACAACTCACTAAATTCCTGAAATTTCTCTACAATTCCTTTAAAATTCCTTTAAAATTCCTTAACGTTCCTTAAAATTCCTTAGAATTCCTTCAAATTCCTGAAAAAGTTGCCGTCTAAAATGATATGCCCAATAAAATCAATATAAAGAGATCCTGGAAAAGCACTGGTTCCATTCTGCAATAAAATGCTCCAAACACTGATTTTCTTTGCAATAAAATTAGAATGGAATTTTATCAGGATTTCCCTGTCCAATAAAATGCTCAGACCAACCCCTTAACAATAAAATGACTAACCTGACTCCAATTTTGAAATTCCAACACATTACAGATCTCGCTTAGGCTATGCACAAGTCATCCATTTCTAGTGTGAAAATTGCCACGGGGATGTTTATGCTTCTTTTCAGTTCTTTACTTCTTCCGACGTTCTATCTTCCTTCCACTTTACTTTACTTTATTTTAATGCATTTCATTTCCTTCCACTTTCCTTTCATGCGCGTTACTTCCATGTCCTTCCATTATCTGTTCATATCCTTTCATTGTCCCTACATGTCATGTCCAAAATCCTCACAGATAGAATATTCGGAATGCGTGACCGTGGTCACCATGGTGGTCACAATTTATATGCGTGAATATTGAAAAAAACACAAATACACACATACAAAAGCATTTCCTTTCGTGTTCGTGCCATTTCCCTCTCATTTCTGTTCACATTCCTTTCATATGTTTCTATTTTCCTGTCAGTTTCCTTTCACTTCCGTCCATGTTCCTTCCATTTCCATCAATCATATCTTTGTTGTATGTTCATCTTATTTAATTATCCTCCTTTTCTTTTGTTCTTTCATGTCCTTCTGATGTTCCTCTGATTTCCCCTTCCGTTCGTTTCATTTTCTTTCTGATCTTCCTTTCATGTCCCTTTCATTTTACTCTCTTGTCACTTCAGTTTCCTTCCCTTTTTCCTTCAAGTCATTCCATTTTTCTTGTATGTCCTATCATTTTTTAAAAAATTATCGAATGTCCGCGCATGTTCGTTTCATATTCTTTTCATAGTCCTTGATTCTTCATTTTCTTCCATGCCCGTTTATGCTTCTTTTGAGTTCTTTATTTCTTCCGATGTTCTGCTATCTTCCTTTCATTTTACATTACTTTATTTTCGTTTATTTCATTTACTTCCACTTTCTTTTCATGTGCGTTACTTCCATGTCCTTCCATTATCTGTTCATATCCTTTCATTGTCCCTCCATGCCATGTCCAAATCCTCACATATAGAATATTCGGAATGCATGACCTTGGTCACCATGGTGGTCACACTTTATATGTGTGAATGTTGGAGAAAAAAAGCAAATACACACACATACAAAAGCATTTCCTTTTGTGTTCGTGCCATTTCCCTTTCATTCCTGTTCACTTTCCTTTCATGTGTTTCTATTTTCCTGTCAGTTTCCTTTCACTTCCTTCCATGTTCCTTCCACTTCCGTCAATCATATCTTCGTTTTACGTTCACCTTATTTAATTTCTCTCCTTTCCCTTTGTTCTTTCATGTCCTTCTGATGTTCCTGTGATTTCCCTTTCCGTTCGTCTCATGTTCTTTCTGATCTTCCTTTCATGTCCCTTTCATTTTACTCTCTTGTCACTTCAGTTTCCTTCCCTTTTTCCTTCAAGTCATTCCATTTTTCTTGTATGTCCTATCATTTTTTGAAAAATATCGAATGTCCGCGCATGTTCGTTTTAAATGATGTCCATGACCTTGGTTCTTTTCATGATCTTCCATGCCCGTTCAAGCTTCTTTTCAGTTCTTTACTTCTTCCAACGTTCTTCTATCTTCCTGTCACTTTACTTTACTTTATTTCAATGCATTTCATTTCCTTCCACTTTCCTTTCATGCGCGTTACTTCCATGTCCTTCCATTATCTGTTCATATCCTTTTATTGTCCCTACATGTCATGTCCAAAATCCTCACAGATAGAATATTCGGAATGCCTGGCCGTGGTCACCATGGTGGTCACACTTTATATGTGTGAATATTGGAGAAAAAAAGCAAATACATACATACAAAAACATTTCCTTTCGTGTTCGTGCCATTTCCCTTTCATTTCTGTTCACATTCCTTTCATGCGTTTTTATTTTCCTGTCAGTTTCCCTTCACTTCCTTCCATGTTCCTTCCATTTCCGTCAATCAAATCTTTGTTTTACGTTCACCTTATTTAATTTCCCTCCTTTCCTTCTGTTCTTTCATGTCCTTCTGATGTTCCTGTGATTTCCCTTTCCGTTCGTCTCATTTTCTTTCTGATCTTCCTTTCATGTCCCTTTCACTTTACTCTCTTGTCACTTCAGTTTCCTTCCTTTTTTCCTTCAAGTCATTCCATTTTTCTTGTATGTCCTATCATTTTTTAAAAAATATCGAATGTCCGCGCATGTTCGTTTCATATTCTTTTCATAGTCCTTGATTCTTCATTTTCTTCCATGCCCGTTTATGCTTCTTTTGAGTTCTTTATTTCTTCCGATGTTCTGCTATCTTCCTTTCATTTT